ACTAATTTTTAAATTTTCCAAAGTAAATAACCGAATTTTTTTAAAACCCAACTATAATATCTGAACCAAAACAATAATGATGTTTGGATGGCAAAACTTGCGTCAGACACTTAATAGCGCATTTAGTCTTAGTAATATGTTATATATTATATTTAATCTGGAACAAAATTAATAAATAAATATTGGCAGTAGACCTTAGCTGGAGACAAATGTTGAATATTTTAGTTCGTAAATATTGTTTATTTATTTTTTATTTAAAAATAAACAAATCGTTGATTGTTATTGTTGTTACGGATTAATCTAAAAATTTTATTATCAACCATGATATACATATTACCTTTATTCGTTAGCATTATTTGTACTGAAGTGGGTTTCGATGTACAGAGGAATTACTTCAACCTAACCTAACTTAATCTATATATTTGCAAATTTAATAAATCACATATATGAGTTAAACTTATTCAAAGAGATTACCTAAAGCTTCTTTTCTGGAAAAACATAATAGAAGAAAACTTTTTACAAACTTAAAATTCACAAAAACCCAAATCAATTTAGCTAGCTATTTAATGCAATATAAGTCTGTCTGCACACTTTTACACCTATAGGTATTTGGTTATTAAACAGGTTAATAGACAGCTTACTATTTGCGACCTACAAAAAAAATCATGGTGATGTCTTCCACGATCATTTTTTAAATTATATATTCCGCATACTTTTCACAGATTAATACCAACTTGATTTTTAATTATTTTCTAGTAGCATAGATAATTATTAATATTCATAAAAAAAAAATTTTGTCTATCTTATGACCCTAGAGATTTTCCAATATTATTATGTTACTTCCAACTAGACGCATTGGAGCGACAGAAGAAATATAAATGGACAGCACAATAGAGCACACTCTAAGAAATTCGAATAGCAATATTGTTTGACAGCCACAAAAGTGAAGCCCGAAAGCTTCCAAGCTTCTTGGAATGCGAAAAATCCTTGTCTATTCTCTTAACACTGTTCGAAATGTGGTCCATGCTTTAATAGGGGGACCGAAACGATACATACAACAATGAATACTATATATTAGAAAATTTCAAAAGTAAATATGACTTCAACATCCTCCTGATGTTGAGGACTGTTCATCGCAAGACAGGGTTGATGAGTGCTATACGCAATTTAAATAGTTAGTGAGAGTGTACTCTTAAATGATATGCAAATTATATTAAGCAACGAAAATCCTTGATCGCTGCAGCTTCCATTAAAACTATGGTTCAAATTCATCAAACTATATCCAGTATCTTCAATATAACTTGTAGAATGAGAATTGAACACCTCACAAATAACAACTATTTTCATTTTGATTGTACATTTGTTTGTTTTGTTGTCTTTGGAAAGATATTAGTTAGGTATACCGTATACCTATATCCAAAAAAACCAGAACAAGAAAATAGAAAATAGATAGTTTTACAATAGCGAAATTATGTAGACTTTCGAAAAGGTTTTTATCCACATCCTGAATGGCACCCGTTCGAAGATCTAAAGCAATTACGCGGCATGTTTTTAGATAATGAAAATTTTTGATTTCAGTAAGGAGAGGAATATTTAAAATAAGGAGGGTATAATTTACAGTAGGCAGAAAATTATTTTAGGTTAGTAGAGTTCTTATTTATAAAAAAAATGTTAATACTGAAATGCGACTTATATATGATATATTATGACATATATGACATATATTAAAAAATGTGGTATTATCCTATAAGACATGTTTAACGATTCGTTTAACGGTTATTTTCAAAAAAGATTATTTCTATAATAGTTTTAGTAGTAGTATTTTAGCTTTATTATACTTAATTTTAAATTAATTAAATTGTATTACATGGAAACTTATAACAAATATATTATTTATATAAAGCTTACAGCGATGGCATTTCAGCCGTCGGCCGGAGCATTTGGGGGTTCTCACAGTTGAAGTGGTTGGGCACATCCCATTAATTGTGTTACCAAGTTTAAAGATTAGATATAAAATGAACAATTAAGTATAGATTATTTCTATATGTAATTTAATTATTTGATCAGGCATTAACATTCGAACAACACACATCATAATTCAATTACTGTATAATTTCTCATTACGGAAGAGAGTGATAAAAGCTTCTACTTCCCACATTCTGTGCACAATTATGCGGAAACCTCAATTACATAAAACACCAGAAATATTTATTATTAATTAATTTTACCACAAAAGCAAATTATGTTACATTTACCGATTGATTACATCGATTTTAACAGTGACGTAGTAACTTAGTAACTTAGAAAAAAAATGTAATTGTTCTAAAATGTTTTCCGTTATTTGAGATGAGTTAAAGCATCTCTACGCAACGTGTCTAAAGTACAGCATAGAAACCACAAGACCCGACGAACATAATCCGTACTTTGGTCATATATGAAACATTTGAATGAATCTCGGTGTGCGTCTGCCTGTCTCTTTGCACTGGTATGTCTGCTTGAATTGAGATACTTGTATATTGACAGTAGTGACGCATTAAATAACTTTTTTTAAAAGAAATTATATTAAGCATACTACAATAAAATCGATGCTTTACATGCTATCAACAAATTCGAATTCGAAAAATATTGAAAAGAAATGAAAAACGACTGCGAAGCGCAAAGTTGATCATGTGCTGCCAACCCTTTTTCACAAATTACGTGACATCACCAATGGTCACAAAAAATGTTCTATACTATAGTTATTCTATAGTTCTATAGTTATTCGTTATCTACCATAAGTATTAATATATGGGTATATTTTAGTACTGAAAGCTATACCATATTATTTCTTAAACATATTCGTTCTTAATGAAAATTGAAAACTCACCCAATGGGTTGATGGGTATTTTAATAAAACAACAATTATTTGAACTATAATTTCGATTATTAGGGTAACAACAAATTTCTCTACATAAATTATTTTTTTTAATGATCGTCTAACTAGACACTATAGCTCTGCCCTGTCTGTGAGCTACATGCACCAATAACATATTTTACATATAATTTTTTTAATTATTTTATTGATTTAAGCTTATCGCACGTCTTCATCGAACGAGTAGTAACCGTGAGTATTGCACTTTAATATGGTTGAAAGACTCAGACCAGTCGAAAATAATCTGTATCACCAGTACGATGTACCTTCTGCTCAAAAAGTACTCGGATTTTGTAAATAAAACACAAATTTAAATTTTATTCCAAATTTATTTTATCTTCTTCAAAATATGGCGAATATGATCTGGATATCCTCGATATTCAAAAGTAGCAGTTGGACAGCCATTAAATGATTTAGTTCCAGCAAATACAAAAATTGTGACCAAAACTCTCATAGAGACCAAAAGTCTCATTATTCTATTACATTATATACTATATTAAGCTCAAATTCTTCGAAATTGTTCAGTAATTTACTTTGGGTGAAAGATCAATAAATTTTTGTGATCCCTCGAAAATGTAATGTTAAAAAAAAGGTGAGTTACTGAAACTATATAAACTCAAAAGATGACATAAACCGTCATATCTTACAGCTGCAGCTGTAAGGGAATACCAATTAACTTTGACACCAAATTTGAGGTATGAATTTGGAAGATATATATATATACATATACATACATACAACCCACCTTATGGCCACTTTTGTGTCAAGAAATCATCGTATCCAAGAAATCATCGTAAGTATCCTATAGAAAAAGTTTTAATTAGGTTATATTTCGCACGTATTAGCCAGATCCAAACAATAGATCGATCTCTCAACCACAAATCTGCTTTATTTACTTTTATTTCCCAAACCATAAAATATATAACTCGAATGCAATCCTTAAAAATAAGTTTCCTACAAGGGAAATTACCAATATTTTATACATGTGTCAAATGTTTTCATCAGCTGAGCTGTAAACAAACGCACTAAGATAGTAAGTATTTAATAAAAGCTATGTGTTTATTAATTGAATATGTAATAGATCCATGATATAGATATATATATAATTGATTTAAATATAATTGACTTATCAATTATATTTTTAATTTTTTGTGTGATATATTGAAAGAAATTTTTCTAAACAAACAGAAGCTCTCTTAAAACTTTTAAAGAATTTTCTGACACATAAAAACACTTAAGTAAAAGCATAAGTAATTTATGTCAATGGAAATCTTAAAATCTTAAAGTTACTTAAGTAATTTACTAAGTAAGCAGCGAAAACATGAAAACATGGTATAAGTAATAATATCACCTTTACGTGTATGTTTACACTTTCAAATGCAGTATTTATTGAAAACACACTTAAGCTCTATGGCACCTTCATTGTTCCCACTTTTGAGTTGCCCATTTCAGCATATGCATATAAGAATTATGATTATAAATCAATTTTAATTATAGGCACTTGTCCAATGCAATAAAAATTATGAGTGAAGTGTGAATACAATAAAACATTGGCAACTGAAACTTGGAGGGACAGCTGCATTGCTGAATGCTTCAATGGATAATTTGCGCGCGCCATCTGGCTGAGTGAGCATAGAGTAAGCGCAGATAGAGCGCTCAGCGCGATATGCTGTAGAAACTCATAAGGCAAAGCCAAATAGAGACTAACAGAGCTTTATAAATAGATTAAGATCGATTTGTTGAATGTCATTCATTAAAAAGAATCAAAACAAAGCTAATCAAATCAACTCTTGTGTTTGAAGTCGTGTGTTAATAAAGATTTACGAATAAAAAAAAAATAAAATAAAATAAAATTAATAAAAATCAACTTTAAATTCTATTCCATTTGTTATCAGAATAAAAAATATTAAATCCACAGCAGCGGAGCACAGTAGCCGTTATAAACCTGATACGCTCTAATAAGTGCATGTGACATAGTTTAACAGACCCTGAACGTTTCTCGCCAAAGAAAGTGAAATTTTTCTATGATTTTATAAATTAAAAAGCAACAAAAACTTTACAATTTTAAATAAAAACATAAACAAATCAATTAAAAAAAACTGTAAACATTGAAAACGCAAACAAAAACAAAATTTTTCCTTCGATTTATTGAAAAATATTTGCGTGATAAATCGAAATGACTTCGTCATTCACAACTTTACTGAAAGTCCTACGAATTACATCTGGACCCAGTGTTAACCAGGACACAACTTACCCACTCAAAACACCAAATGTATTACCAGAGCTCACAATAACCAGCGAAAAAACTTTCACCTCGCAGACTATTGAAACGATGCGTACCGTTGTTTCTGGTCTTCCGGAAATCTCGTTACAGGAAGTGGCGATGCATGATGATTACGACGATTGTTGGATTATCATCTATGATCGTGTTTATGATGTAACGAAATTTCTATATATGCATCCTGGTGGTGAAGATGTTATTATGGATCATGCAGGGCGCGATGCTACGTTAGCCTTTCATGGTACCGGTCATTCACGAGATGCAATCGATCAAATGCGTGATTATTTGATCGGTGAACTACCGCCGCATGAACGCATTTTTCGTACACAAAATGGTAAGGTACTCTCCATGGATATACCAGAGTGAAATTTAGAAAATTATTTATATTTATTTTTGAGTAATTATATTATTTATACATAATAATCCTGCACCGTAAGACACATTCCTACTAAATTTGTATAAAACTAATATATATATTTTTAATTTATTTCGTTTTTATTTTTTATTTATACTACTATAGAATGTATTTTGTAAAATATAAAATTAAGTGCTGTGAGTTGATGTTGCATATATTTTATATATATAATTTTCTTATTGCATTATATATATAAGTATCTTTTTTTACACTAATTCCTCTTGGTTTTTCTATTTTTAAACTTTAAAGCTTTATACTAAATTAAAACCGAATTCTAAAATTTTTTATAAATCTACAGATATGTGATATGATTTGTTTAATAATGATTTTTAATTGAAAGATAAACTTTACTTTACACAAAAAATATTTTAAAATTATGAACTGCCGTCATTAATATACATAAGTAGTTCTAACTAGCTATGAGATAGAAAAAGAACGTCATAAATATTTCATGAGTAGTTCTCACCAGCTTTGAGATAGAAAAATATCATTATCAATATTACATGAGTAGTTCTAGCTCGCTAAGAGAAAAAAAATCGTCATCAATATTACATGAGTAGTTCTACGCATTTATAAGATTATTTTATTTTGGGTAGTATTAGAAGAAACAAACTCTCTCTCTCTCTCCGTGTCAAAAGATCTATTGCTCTTATAAATAAGACATTTATAAAAAGTTAGAGTGAGATTAAAGAAAAAAAAAATAGAGAGATTCCGACAGTAGCGAATTGTAACAACAAAATTTTTATAAATTTTTAATTAATGGAATTTTTGGCTTACCATAAAGATATTTCGAGTAATGCTAAATACCAGCCTATATACTTAAATAGCCATAACTGACAAAAAAAATCGTGGAAATCAAATTTAATATAGAAATGGATATAAAATTTTGTATCTTCAATTTATTAACAGGATCCATTATTTAGATAATGTACGTTAATAACAAATTTAAAAAAATAACATTGACAGCAACATAATTATTTTAGGCTGATTATCTTTGGCTGAAATCAATAATAACTAATAAACAATATATTTCTTTCCAGTTTTATATCATTGTTGCTTTACGATCTTCTACTTAATTTGTTACTTTTTATCAATGTTCACCTCACCTATCAAAATGGCTTGACTTTATTACTATCATTAATTTATTGAATATCGAACTATCTTGTATATCGATGTACTTAATACTTGTAAGCTAATATACTTTTGAATTAAAAAAAAACAAATTAAATAATGTATATATAGTAGAACGCTTATATCTTAAAAATTTTTTTTGTAATGTCTCACTTTCAATGTCTTTATCTCCTTAGCCGTCTTTTTATTTATATCTTGACCCTCTCAATCCTTATTTTCTGACTACTGGTATTCCTACCGATATTTCTAAGTTTTTTGTTAATAAATATGAATAATCCTAATTTATATTTTAATAGTCCATATCCACCTATTATCTATATATAGGTTACCCCTATAGGTACCTCCTACATACAGGTAACAATAGGTTACCCATTCTTTTTCATTTTAAAGTCCAATATTTGAATAACTAAACTATATCAACATATAATGTCAATAGTTGATATTCCTTGTATATTTCTCAATTAATTTTTTAATTTTTTTCAGATATTCTTTTTGATCTATAACTATTACTGTTACTATTTTGATTAATACTGTTAAAATAATTGCAATAATATGCATATCACATATGGTACTACTTATAAAATATATAATATTAGCTGATTGGGCATTCTAAAATTTTTTAAAGCTACTGTTTCCTTATCCAGATAATACTTCTAGTCACAGCAATTAGTGATGATGCAGCTTTAGCATTTTATTTTACATTATCTTCTTACTCATTTGAAAACAAACACCAAATTTTATTTTACTCTCTTTTTTACGGATCTATTTATTAGTCCTAATATTCTAAAACTAGTTCACAATATGTCTAATATATCATGATTTGAAACAAAATACAATAAAAAATCTATTCCATTATAACATAAATATTACTTCCTTGATACATATACTCGTCTATAACTAATTTATATTCTTGAGCTTATATGCAATATAATGGTTTTTAAAAGATATTTTTATAACTAATTTTGACTCGATTTTCTGGGTATGACAATTTCTGGGGCAACGGATTTCAGTGGACATCAAATAGATATTATATTATCTATGAAAAGTTTAGACGATTTTTCAAACAAAATTTTCTGACTTAAAAGCACAATATCAAAATAAAATAGAGCTAAATCCGACACTTGCAGTCCAACAAATCATATACGGACTATAAACTAAGATCACAAATTTCAATAAATTAATTCAAAAATTTTTGTTATTTATTCTTCATTACTGTTCGAACCCTTTTAAAATAAACGTTTATTAACATATATCAGTAGAGTAGTGGAAAAATTTGTTTAAATATTTTTATCTACTAAAATCCATTGTTAAGTTGACGTACTGAAGAATTTGTAATGGTGTTTAAATTTTGTATAATACAGATTTATATTAATTTATATGTACCTCAATATATATATATAAAATATATTTATATTAATGTTTTTAAAATTGTTGTGTTTTTTTTAAATAATAAAAGTGTCTTGATAACAGAAATTATTGTTTAGCTAAAGCTTTTTAAAATTGCTATTAATGCTTTTAATTTACATATAACATATGCAACATCAAATATTATATTATATTCTAAGAAAATGTTTACACAAAAAGAAAAAATTATTATTACAAAAATTATTACTCACTAAGTAATCGAAAACAAAATTAATCGAAACATTTAAAATCATGACCTAAAGCTAATAATAAATACATAATAAAAATTTTTAATAAATATTACGACAGAAAAAAAATAAAATAATTTAACAATGTTTAAAACTGATATATAATTTTTGTTTAATTAAATTCATATTAATTATTATTTATAATAGTACACATCAATAAACGCTTGTATACTACTAAACTAAACAATGTACTTAATTAAGTTTAACAAAATAAAACAATAAAAAATACACAAACGTGTTTATATCTTATAATTATAATATATATAATATATAGAATAAAAATAAGAACAATTTTAATTGTTTTTTTACTATCAATGTGAAAAAAAATATTTATTAATCGCTTCATTGTAATATGCAAGCCTCTGCCTCTATACAAACAATGTTATTAATTTATTATTGTTATTAAAATTTGCATTAAAAATTCGCACTTGAATAATTATTATTGAATTTTTGCTCTAATAAATATTATTTCTATAAACTATTTGTGTTTTTTGTTTGTGTTTCAAATGTCGTCAATCTGGAAGAAGCCATATTTTCGAACTTTAATTAAATTAAATAAAAACAAATATTATAATTTTTAATTAATTTATTTTTTTCATTATTTTTTTTAAAATTCATTTGCTTAAATTAGTTAAAATCAATTGAAAGATTTTCATAAAAATATAAAAACATAAGCTTAAGTTATATATATAATTTTTTTCAATAAGAAAAAAATGTTGCTACATTACAACTACTAATATATATCTTAAACACTATATATGTTAATGTAGAAAGTGAACTTTTTAATGTATAATTTTTTTTGTATATTTTTTTATATATATCATATAATTTTTATTACTAAATAAATATCACTTAAAAACAAAGTTTTTGGTTTTAATATCTTTTTGGTTCTAACGACTAGCATGAAATTGACTTATTAATTGCTTTTTATATATAATAATATTAAATTAGTAATTAAATGAGAAGTATTTAAATTTCGTAATATTCGTAGTATTTTCTTTAAATTTAATGTTAATATTTTTTAAGAATATTTTTAATAATATTCCACATAGTTTGAAAACAAATAATAGTTCTATTATTTATTATTATTACATTTTATATCTCTGCTGTAGTTTACTTCTGTATAGTTTAACTCTATTTAGTTATTTATTTGTAATTATAAAATATAAATATTTTATATATATTTGAAAAATAATTTCTTTCGTAATAATCGACTTTAAATTAAATTTAAAATAAAATAATTATTTTATATACTACTTTTTTTGCTATAACTCATATACATACACATATATACAATAAAAAAATTTAATATTATTTGGAAATTCTTTTAAAAGTACATAAACCTGCAACTCATATTTCAGACAAACACACATACATATATGTATAAGAGGATATATTTGAAAGGTGAACACACTTAAATATTTATATAAAATGTAATCAATATATATAAATACATGCCATTCCTAAATGATTTAAATACATATTTTTATATATAACTATTATTTTGAATATAAAACTTGTATAATATTTAAATAAAATATTTTCATATAGTATAATAAATATATATATATTTATATATATATATATATATTTATATATATATATATATATTATATATAATATTATATTTATATATATAATATATATTATATTTATATATATTATATATATATATATTATAATATATTTATATATATATATATATATTTATATATATATATATATATATGAAGTACTATGAAGTTTTAATAAATAAATAATAATAAATAATATTTATATAAAATACAAATACGGTAACAGTTTATGTAGTGTCATCCTTCTATATACTTTTATATTATACAATTTAAACATTATTATCAATATACAAAACATATATATTCAAAAATACATGTATTTTTGTTTTATATTTAAAACTTGTATAATATTAATATAAAATATTAATATAATAAGAATTTATGGGATTGTATATTGTATATTTCTATATATTTTCACAACATACAATTTAAATATTTGCGGACTTGAAAAAAAATGACAAAAAATTGTATTTTGCATAGAATACCACATAGATACTTTTAAATAATCTATTATACATTACATTTACTTATAAATTTAAGAAGCTTTATTTGTAATAGTATAAAAATCGAAGTTTTTAAAAAGAATTTTGTCAAACATTTTGTATTATAAAATATATTACTTATAATTATTAAAAAATTAGTTAGTTATATATTTATATAAATATATATATATATATATTTCATTATATGGTAATTCAAAGTAATTCTCTGGATATCTGATGTGTTCTTGCTACTAATGACAAGTTGATTTTAGTCAAAAATTAATTTATAATTCTAAAATAAATGATGTGTTACACTAACTCAGTGCACAATAGATCAAACTGGTCACAGTTTGACCTAAGGCATTGGTGCCTTAGCCTAATCAGAAACCCTCAAATACCATTGACCAATACACTTAAGTCAAATTTATAAACTAAATTACCAAATATTACAGTATAATGTATTAAGCTTATAACATATATATATAAAAAAAGTTATGACATGCAAAAGAAAATATATATATAAAAATAAGTACAGTAATTTATTATACAAGTAATATAGCAGAAATATAGTCTATATGACGATAGTGACTATTTTAATTAATATAAATTATTGTATTTAATGGAGAGGTTTCGAACAGTGATGAATTGTAACAACAGAACATTTATTTATTTTTAATTAATTTTATTAATTAATCAAGCAATTAAATAACAACATCTTAATTTATTTTTAATTAATTTAATTAATTAATCCAATTAAACAGCAACATTTTTATTTAATTGAAAAAAATTATATTATTTGATTCGGTCACACAAAAAAATTTTTATTTAATTAAAAAAATTTATATTAATTAATTCAACTAAATAAAAATGAACAAAAGTTTTGTTCGTACGATACACAACTGTTAAAAATCTCCTTAAAATAAATATACATATATATAAATATATATATATAGAAATATAAATATAGAAATATAAATATAAAAATATATATATAAAAATATATGCATATAAATATACATATAAAAATATATACATATAAATATATATATAAAAATATATATATAGAAATATATGTATATAAAAATATATATAAAAATATATAAATATAAGTATATAAATAAAATATTTCAATATATATAATATATTTTTATACAAAGTGTATTTAAAATATTTTTTGATATCAAAAAACCTTTCGGAAAACATAAACCATATCAGTTGTTGTTATTGTTATAACCCGCAAGGATCTATAAAGCAGATAACATGAAAGGAATTACAATAACGTTTACATGGGTTAGAATATGGATACGTATGGATAGGGAAAGGAATAATTTAAGATTAATAATGGATGGGTAAGATTTAAATTAAAGTCAACCGGGTACAAAATGAAAAAATACAACTACTTTTATGGGCGGATTTAAAGATCGATAGGAGTCAAGTTTGTGTGTGCATTATGGTAGGAAAACAATGGGCAAAATAATGGGGAGTAAAACACACATTGGGAGTAGCCATATTTATGCTTAACAAGTAACTGTTTTGCAAAGGCCTATATCCTTATCTCTATTAAGCTATGACAGTAACATTCAATTCAGTCATTTAGCACTCAGATATAGATTTATATAAACAGTACACACATTTTTTAAATTTATATGAAACAAATTAATAAATAAATATAAGAAATAACATATAAAACAAATTAATAAATAAATATAAGAAATAATAAACATAAGAAAAAACCATAATATTAATCTGAGTAATTTATGAAACTATTACTGCTATATTAAATTCATGTTATAATATGAAATCAGGAATTATGGTATTAAGTAATTATATACTTAAAATCATAATATCATGTAACTACAATTAAAGCATATATAAAATACATGTATAATATAATAATACATACATAATATATATATAATATATATATAATATATATTATATCCATTTTAATATGTTGTTAAATTACGTTTAATATTTTAAGGTTTGATATACATAAAAAGTCATATAAATTATAATCTCACACGATTCTAAAATATGAAGTTAATGTTAAAAGGTTAGTGCGTTATATATTAGGAATACTCACAAGAGTATGCCAATATCATAATGTGACAAATTTACATGTTATAAATTGCATTGTAAAATCAGCACTTTTAATTTGGCAAGTAATTCAAAAAGAATTTCTACCCCACTTAAATTAACAAGGTCAATTGAAATATAAAAAGGTTATTCTCTTTTGTATGAATAATAATAACAATACCTGATTTTAACAACTCTTTTGAATACCTTAATGGTATTAATTATTGAATTTAAATTATTTAAAAAATATGTAATATTGTACATATGAAGGTGAAGACTTTTACTTATGAATATAGAGAACTATAGTGGTATTCACTGTCTCCAATAACAAGATCGGTAAGCAAATAACAGTGAAAAAATCATCACCATTTAATGTATTTTATTGTTGTCGCTTTTACTGTTGCTATATTACTCAATTACCTAGCCGGTTATTTGGGATCGATAATACACCTTATACATAATTATACATGATATCATATATACATATATCGATTAGCGATTAGAATTGTTAATACTTCTTGGAGATCTGATAGTAACTACTTAAATATATGTGTTAAAAATACATATCTGTTATCTACCCACTTATATAAAATGATGTATTTACACAAATATATGTATAATAATGATAATATTGTAGTGTATTCTAACAATTTAACTTATTTAACATAAATTGATCTTTACATAAATTGATCTTAATATAAATTGATGTTAACATAAATTGATCTTAACATAAATTGATGTTAACATAAATTGTTGGGATACACTAAACTATATGTATATTACAGATCATAGTGGTATTCAAAATAAAATTATAATAAATATTTTATATTAACTTTATGGAGAACTTTAATTTTTTCTATATACATATGTATTTATCTATAATTAATGAAATTTATGAAATTCACAAACATTTAAATATAAATATTATACAAATGCATAAAATATATTATTTACTTATAAAAAATATTTTATACGTATGTATGAAAGTAGTATGACACATATAGATATATATAGATAGTTTGAATAATTTATTTTATACTAAAGTCAAAAATTTTGTTTGTAATTTATGAGTTAAGCTTATACATATTATATTTTACTGTTAATAGTTTATTTTGCTCTTAAGTTGTAGTCACTACTCGTGAAATTAGATAATTTAAGATCTTTCCTAATTAAACATAAAATAATAGAGTTTATGACATGCTATCGCTGTACTAAGTAATTTGAATATGCAGTGGATTTGGAATTAGTTTTAACTAGAAATCTGCACTTGATAAAAAAACAGAGCCTAAGGTTAGATATTTCTCAAATTTAATTTATTTATTATATGAAGCATACATATTATGCATACAGTGATGGCGTTAGGTGTTTACGACCGCCATGCTCTTAAAGGAAACCGAGAAAAATTACTTTGTCGTATATGAAATTATATTAAAAATAAAAAATTAGAATCTAACCTGACTAGATAACATATGATCACACGGAATAAACAGAACACAAAGAAATCACCTTTTATAGATTTCTAATAAATCCTACAAGTTTTTTACGTTTAGTTACAATATATCAAAATTGCTCACCGCAAATGAGTTTTTAATATATAATATATTATTATGTTGAAGCGATTTGAGCCAGTGCACTTGAGCAATTGCACTCTTTATTAACTCGATGTATCTTCAAAACCCCTCTTTACGACTTGACTGGATTATTATTTATCACTTCATCAATATATCAATAAATGTTTGCTAGCTGAACTAAATATTGAATGTTAGAAATTTTCTAAATGAATATAAACTGAAGATTTCTTATGGAAGAAGACAAACTATGCTTTTCACCTTCCAAATTAGCTCTCAGAGTAGCTGTAATCAGAAATTTGTGTGACATATGTATTTTCCATGTGAGAGAGACAACTTAAGCAATTATTGTGATAATGCGAGAATTTCTACAATAATTTTGATATAATACGAATGAACACAAAGGAGAAAAATAAAACGTTTTAAGAAAGAACCTGAGAAGCGTTTTCTTCCTTACTGCGCCATACGATTCTAAGAGAGTTTGGAACCAATAAACAAATATGCGACAGAAATAACTTGACTTTGGTAGTGATATTAACTTTGGTAGTGTGAAATGTGTATGATACTTATATGATTAACACTTATATGATTAATCATATATTCAGTTATGTTTTATAGATTTTAGTGTTAGTGTATAAATCAACTCAAGCAACATTTTCTTTCTGAATCTATAAAATAAAAAGGAGAACCGAAAAGCTGATCTCATCTACATCTACGAGTATACTACTGCCACCACTGTATGCAAATAAATTTAATAAAAATATCCATATGTATATGTAAAGGATATATTACTGAGATATAAAAGAAAACTATATATAGTCGTATATACAAAATTATAAGTATACATACATAATTGGAAATAATGTAATATAAGTGGGTTTATTTATGGATTTAATTATCAGTTCAAATATTGAAGTAACTTTTGTTTTATATACTTTTTCTATATATAATAAAATATCCTAATGATAAAAATATGCAATTAGCTGCAATTTATGTATATATATATATATATATAGATACATACGTACTACATAAACTTTTAATTTAATATTAATATTTAAACATATTTGAACTGAAGTGTTTTTCTGTGTAGTTATGGCATATATAGTTGCTGAATATTAGTTTGGAAAAATCCAAATATTATTGCAATTTTTTTTTAATAGCAAGGCATAAATACGATGGTGGAATGCCATTCAATATTGACAAACTGAAGTACTTAAAAAATAACTTAAAACTTATCTACTAATATATCTAATATATAAATTTTATAATATATATGAATACATTATACAATACTTATTATCGTAATCATACAACTTTTTCAAAATGTACATTTTGTATTCTAAGCTGTATCTATACATGAAGATGGAATAAATGCAATTAAATAATACCTATGACTATTGCTGAGTAATTTTGAATTGAACACTTCATTATTTCCCATTTAGATTCATAATTCAATTAAAAAAAATACTATTTTTGCTCTTATTTGGCACAAAAATTTTGAACGTCCTAACTTATCCTTATCCAGAATAAGATACTAAATTTAGCTACTGTTTGGTGGCTCATTATGTGCACCTTGCAGCAGTGCTTGCAATTTTGCTGCAGCTGGAAATGAACCTAAATCCAGTGGCGCTGCACCGGTTGTGCTTTGTATGTATGCTAAAAGTCTTTAAAAAATTATATTAATAGTAACTAAGATATATGAGGACACAATGTTTCAAACCTTCTTAACTCTTCCAGAGCATTTTGCTGCATAAGTATGTAATTCTTTGCTAATAGTAGAGTAGCAATTTTGGATAACTTTCGCACAGAAGGTGAGTGGGCATAGGGTATAACACTGCGCAATTCATCTAGAGCGTCATTTAAATCATGCATACGCCTTCGTTCTCTGCAAATTTCATATACCGTCAGTTTAACAATGTTGTAGAAAAATATATAAATAACATGAAATAATATTTACATATTTACCTGGCATTTATATTCAAACGCACTGTTTTACCTTGACGATTTTTTTGTTTGCCACCACCACTGTTACTAGAGCTGCCACCTACGGAATTTGCTGCTGTTGTAGTGCCACCAGTTAATAGCAAAGTTGTTGGTGTTGGCGATTTTTCACCACCACTGGGCCCAGGTTTATTTTCATCAGTTGGTCCGGTTTGTTGTGGCATCGCCATGCCTTGTGCATAAAAGCCACCCAAGCCAACTGAACCTAATGGTGTACGGCGTCCGGGTACACTTTGTGGAGGACTTGCTGTGGGTCCGGGATGCACAGCCATTAAATTTGGTGTAGGCGGTATTTGTACGTGAGCATGGCCTGGCAATGCAAAACCAAAAGGTAGATTTGTGGGATCCATAATTGAAGTAGGTGTTTGTTTTTATAACAAAAATAACTCGCTGTATGTTTATAGAGAAAGCTAGAAAGAATACAAAATGTAAGTGCAAACGAAATAGTATATTATAGATATTTGTTGTTAGTGTAACGTGTGCATAAGGAAATAAGTCAATGCTTATATGGTACAGGCGGTGAACCTTTATAAAAGGAAGAGATGTATGTCTGTAATAAGAAAAAGTAATCATTCAAGTTTCAGAAAACATAATAACGAGGCGTGACAGTCAAGTCAAGTATTCTAAAACGTAAAAACCAAAGATGGTAAAAAGTACTTTGAAGCAAGTAAATTAATTTAAAGTTACTGTTAAAACGAAACAAATTTAGTTGTGCCAATAATAACTTGTATGTTTTCCACTGTATATTTGTGTAATGATTGGTATCCAATATTGATACCATTAACCTGCAAAGCAATTGAGGATGAGTAATAAAACATGTAGGTACTACTTCTTGAGAATTAAATAAATGACAACGCACTACAGGTGGCGCATTTAGTATGTATTTAACTGTTGTTATTGTCTACTTCTACCATATGTTTGAGTCTTTTCAAGAAATGGATTGCTTTTTTTTACTATTGACGAATAGTTTGTGCATTTAAAACCAACCAATTTTAATGTTAATATTATTTTGATACTAGCAAAAAACGTACCTATAAAAAAGAATTTGTTTTAATCTTTAATTAAAATGAAACTTTAAATACTCACAAAAAATTTGCGTGGTGCTATTCTACTAGTGTTTTGGAAAGTATTTTTGCCATGAAATGACGTCATTTTATTAAGTAGCGTACAACCTTTCCTTAACCAAGCAAAACAAAGTGGGGTAACAGCGTTAGCTTTAAATATTTTAAAACTGGACATCTCTTCAACATTATGTACATAATGTTATATTTACAATATAAAATTACTATCTTGGTATTATTGATTCCATTACGTCGGGTACCAAATTTTACTGGATTTCCAAGAATATTTAACCACAAAATGAAATGATTTTTTTTAAATTAAGAATTAATTGATCAAATATATTTCCATTTATTTCCAACTTTTAAATAATCGTCATACTATACATTTATTATTAAAACTAGAACTACTTTTGTTTACTTTTTCCTTTTCGTCCTGATAAGTGTCAAACAAAAAATTTTTGTCAACTGCAAAATTGACAGGTACAAAAATAGCTATATCGCCATCTAGCGGGAGCTAGTATTTTATTATTTGTTTACAAAACCAACACAATTGGACTAATTTTTTTGCAACTGTCAAAAGGGGGTTGAAAAGGAAACGACAAATGCAAAAGATATGCTAGTTTACATTTTTTTATTTATTATTGTAATTAGAAACAATTTTTCTTCAGTGTTTAAACATTACTTACGAATAGAAGTTTTAGAATTTGTAATATATTTTAAGCTGTTGTTTTTAGTAATAATTTAACACTTTGATAATTATGCACTTTTCTTCTATTATTACACTGTAATCACATACGTTTACTTTATTTTAATTTTATCATTTTACATTAACTCGATTTAGTTGAAATTGTTGCAATTTAAATTTTGTTTTATTTTAAAAGTAAACAAATATTAATTTAAATATGAGTCAACAGCAGCCGCAGCAACAATAAAAAGTCACTTCAACTGCCAACCTCAAAGCAATACAATGTCAACAGCACCAAAAATTGTACGAACGCTGCCGCCCGCCACGAACAACCACGACCAGTCTTTTGTGGTATCCTGAATCCTGATATGATGTTTTCTGCTAAATGTTCGATTTTTTTTTTGTTGCTACTATTTTTCGTTCCTTCAATATATGTATATGCATACATATGTACATATGTATATTTGTTAGTGGTAAACTCTGCTGCTGGTGGTAATCTCTCTGCAAATATTATGAAGCTGTGGTGGATGTTTGGTTACTCTTCTACAGTCAACATACAACGGCACATAACGTATGTATGTTTCATACACAAATCATATTTACAAATACATTAATGGCGTAAGAACTGAACCACAAAAATATTTATTATGTACTTTTTTCATTTTTTAATTTCAGTTCATGCTTTGGCTGGCAACATTTTACTATAGTATGTATGTACATACATACATATGTATTTGCTGTGGAGTTTGATAAATATTCAGCTTTAGTTTCGGCTTCCTGCACCTTTTGGTGCTGTGACTATAATTTTTATTATCATTAATATTGTTGCTGTGTGTGCGTTATTGCTTGTCTACTCAATTTAAACGTTTCGTACATTTGTCGACAATTTCAATTTGCACTGAAACTGAATCTGAATCTGCACACATCCAAACATTCACACATTCACAATGAGTCAACGTAAAGTTCCTTTTTGGCAACGTTTTTGTTGATATGGTGCAAAGGCAGTTAAGTGTTTTGGGGGTTGAAGTGTACACCATTCATTGATTTGTTGCTACAGTAATGTGACTGCTATTGCTGTGTTGTTGTTGTTGTCGTCTCTGCTGCTGCTGTTTGCGCGGCTGCTAATGTTGATTGTGATGCTAATGCCACTGCCGTTAGAAATCATTGTAGCATTGTTTATTGTTGGAATAATCGCACAACTGGCACATGCCAAAGATTTGTTTCTTCACATCGAATAGAGACATTAAATGGTCATAAAAGTAATCAGTAACCAAAATTGTCCTTAAAGTGTAAGGCTAATCAAATTTGCTTATATGTACATATGTACATATATTGAACATATTTTTAAAATTGTCTATGCCTTATATTTCATATACGTTCTTTTTATTTTTAGTTTTTTTTTTCTTTTTTTTTATTAATATTTTTATAAATATTTAGTTGTTTTCTTTTAGTTAATATTTTTTTTATATAATTTTTTTTTTATTTAATTTCTTTTTTATAAAATTTCATTTTTATTTAATGTTTTTTTTAATTGTTTTTTATTTAATTTTTGTTTTATTTATGTAACTTATGTAACTTTTTTTATTTATGTATTTATTAATTAATAGTTTGTTTTCTTTTTTCAGTTATTATATTTTTTTTCTTTTTGTAGTTAATATTTTTTTTAGTTTATATATATTTTTTTGTTTATATTGTTTTTTAGTTCATTTTTTTATTTTATTAGTATTTTTTTAGTATTTTTTTTAGTATTTTTTTTAGTTACAAAACCATTAATACTTTATGGTTTTAGTTAATATTTTCTTTTAGTTAATATTTTTTTTTGTTTAGTTAATGTTTTTAGTTACTTTTGTTTTAATTGTTTTTTTTTTAATTAATACGTCTTTTAGTCAATATTTTTTGTTATTTTTAGTTAATATTTTTTTTTTGTTGATATATTTTTTTAGTTAGTAATTTTTTTAATATTTTCAAGTTAATATTTTTATGGTTTTTGCAAATTGTGCTCAATATGTAATATAATTCTTGAATTTTAATTTCCAATGGAGGTTTAAAAGTGTCAAAAATAAAAGTTGCTAATGCGAGTTTAACAGTTTTTTGCGTCAATTCTAAACGATGATACACATATGCAGTTTATATTAGGTATATTCGGCTGCTCCGAAGTGCCAAAAAAACAACAAGTCTCTTGCTAAAATATCTTACTAAAGTCTCTTACTAAAGTATCTTACTAAAGTATCTTACTAAAGTCTCTTACTAAAGTCCCTTACTAAAGTATCTTACTAAAGTCTCTTACTAAAGGCTCTTACTAAAGTCTCTTACTAAAGTCCCTTACTAAAGTATCTTACTAAAGTCTCTTGCTTGCGTATTGGCATCACTTTTATTAAATAAATGATAATCATATGATAATAAATAATCCGTCAAATATATTGTCGCAATGACAAAGTTTTGCGTATGTTAACAAATTTTAAACAGATTGAATTTTATATAAAAATAAATTTTTGATATAAAAGTAAAATAGTAAAAACTAAAACAAAGAGCGAATTAAAATTAGAGACTTCATAACTAGTCTGTTAGATAAGAAGTGAGAATGCTATTGTTTTACGTACAAATTAGAGACTTGCTGTTTTTCGCAATTTGTTGCAGTCAGTGTGTGATTGGCACTCAATAAAATCTTTTCTTGGAAACAAGTTAAGAAGATCTTAGGCATCAGACTATAGAAAACTATAAAAAGACTTTCAGTGCGTTTCTTTTGAGAGAATTCAATATTTACTTTAGACCTGGCTAGATGCTGTTATTGTTATAAACCGCTGAGGTCCATTAAGCAGATAACGGGAAAGAAATTACAAGAACATGCACATGGGTTAGGATGCTTGTGGGTGTTGGTAGTGTAAGAAGAGAACCGATTGTTGAGAAGTATGAATTGATTGTAGATGGATTAAGAATTTCAATGAACTCAGTTCTCTAAAATCGAATAAAATTATTATGATTGAAAAGGATTAAGGTTAGCATTTTTTTTTGTTGAAAATTTTGTCTTTCTATATTTTTTTAGACAAGTTGATATAAATATATGTATGATTGTAACAAATAATATGTAAAGTTATATATAATATATAAATGTTTTAATCAAAATTTCAAAATAGAATGAATTGTTAATCAACTCATTATTATCTAAAATTTCCAATTGTTCAACTCAAACGATAGATTATTCGTCGTCTCTCAAAGTCTGTAAAATCCATTGTATCTGAGCTTTATCAACTAAACAAATAAAATTTATAAATAAATCTCTGGAGGACTTTGAACATTTTGCAAAATTGTCATATAAACAAAACTATTAAATTTTGCAGTGTATTAAGGATATTCGTCCAACAACGATAATGCAAGCTCCGAAAGATTAATGATTCAAAGAAATTTCATAAGATGAATTGAATGTATCACGTAAAGAAGGGTTCACATAATGTTCTTAAATATGTGCACAATTAACATAATAAGTAATGGTTATTATTTTTAATAATTTTCACTCTCTTGTGAAGATTTCGACAAGCTTTGACTCTAGCTGATGCTTAGATACTAAATAATTTTTAGCAATTTATTTATTTATTAAACATAGCAGGATTTATTAAATATATTTCATTTATAAGTAGTAATAATAAAAATAATAATGAAAACAAAATAATATCGAATATAATCACAAACCTTTATTTGTTACTCTAATGGTTAATGGTATTTGGGGGTTTTCGGGTTAAGCTAAGGCCCCTATGCACTGCGACCAGTTTGATCTGTTGTGCACCCTTGGTATTTAGATATTTAGTATCTCGATGAATCGAACCAGCTCCTTCGGAGGGAATTTTCGAAGGTCTTCATCCACAGTTTTTGATCAGATGTTCCATAGACTCTTCCTCATCACAGCAGAATCTGCAAATATTAGTGTCTGATATACCTATTTTATGTAGGTGTTTATTACATGCGGCGTGGCCTCATGTAATAAGGCTTTAATTTAATCAGTTCAATAAAAAAAAATTGACCATTCATACACTTCATTTGTTAATTATAATAGAAAAAAAATATTAATAAATACTTCAAATCAAATTTATACATATATTTAATATAATTTAAAAAAAAAAAAAAAATTAATTATTACAAACTTTGCACTGTTATGAATTAATGGTATATAAAGTTGGTGGATACGTCTGAAACACGAAAGAGATGACTTGGGAGACACATTTATTTCTGCTAACTGAGAGCTAAGTGAATGAATCTGGAAACGTAGTAAAGTAAATATATTGACTCGACCCCATTTTGTAACGCCCATCAAAAATGAACATTCAAAGTAATCTTAATTTTGATCTTAATTTATAAACTCATCTGCCAGAGATTCAATGTGAGAAATCAAAAATTAAGAAATCTCAGCTATATAAAAGCTTAATAATTTTTTTTAATCTTAATATTATTAAATCATTCAACCATATTTCTTATTTATTTCTTATTTATTTATGTACTATGTATTATTATATTTTATTATATTTATATAAATAAAATAATATAGAACAGAATTTTTAGTCTTATAGTTCATTATTTTTCGAAAACCTGTTTATTTTTTATTTATTTAATTAAAAATATTAATAACAATTAAAAATACTTCAAAATAACTTATTTGATTTATTTTAATTTACCTAATTCTTATTTATTTCTTCTTCTTAATATAATTAATTTTACTTTTTATTAATTTCAAAATTAATTAACAAATAATTTAACATATACTTATAAGCTATGTATAATTGAAATATATTTGTTTACTATTTAATTATATTTAGTTCGAAACTGCGATTTGTGAGACGGACTCCACTTAATGTTATGCTGACGATATTATTATATAATATCAACATCTCTAGTGGTTCTATTATTTCTATGTGAAGAAGGTTTCGCTGAAGCCTGACTCCAGAGTTACTTTCATCGCTTTAAGTAACTTTTTTAGTTTGAAACTTCTGCTTCCAACTACAGACCTCCTAGACCTCTTATTATAGGATGTCTCGACACGTAGTGGTTCTGTTATACCTATTTAGTTTGAAACTTCTGCTTCGGATAACAGTTTCTGATCACTTCTCTTATCCTAGACCTCTTATTATAGGATGTCTCCTTTCGTAGTGGTAGAGTTTCTATGATACTTGAACTCAATGTCACCTCCATCACTTTAAGAAAATTATTTACTTTAAAATTTCTTTTAATAACTTATCAGGATGCTTGAAAAAGTATGTTTTAAGAATTGTGGCTTTGCTACTTGCTTAAACTGGACAATTGCAGAATAGGTAAAAATTTAATAATTTTTTCTGTTGATCTTGGTAGAGGCTACAAAGATAGTTACTTAGAAATATAATTCTTTGTGCATATTCTCTAGATGATGTTCTACTACAAAACTAAATAATGTTAACAATTTGATTCTACTTAAGCTAATTGGTTTTATAATTCAAAATGGGTTTCTGTATTACCAGAATAATTTATACTTTTTTTAAGAAAGGAAAATATTGACCCCTATGTAAATATCTAGAGAATTTCTGATACTCGCAGTGTCATTCTAAACGATTTTTTGCTATGCATTTTATTTATTTATTTTACCTTCTTAGTGCTGTGTGATAACTTCTTAGTGCTGTGTGATAATCTTTTAAAGCACTATCTTCGAAGTCGTGATATTCTCTTCCTGTTCTGATACTCAGCAGACAGGTATGTTGTGGTGTGTACTGATACCATTTTGAAATGCGATATATGATTAAGTGAGTTTATATATAATATCGGATGTTTTTTTAGCGTCGATATCGCTATCAACGACCACAACGCTGCCAACATGTGAAAATTTTCTTTGAAAAAAACAAATCTGTTCACGAAGTTTGTAGAGCACTGCCTAGAAGAATTGTGTTTAGTGATGAAGCTCATTTCTGGTTAAATGGTTACGTTCAAAAGCAAAATTTCCATAGATTGAGCGAAGATAATCCTCAAGCCGTTAACGAACCAACATCACATCTACTGTGAGATCCGGTTTACATGCTGGCGGCATCATCGGTCTTTATTTCTTTCGAAATATCAAAGCGAGCAAAGAGCTGTCGTTATGGTAAATGGCGAGCGCTATCAAGCCATGCTGACTGAATTTTTGTCAGCAATTTTCAAAAATTCATCAATTAAACATAGACGAGATTTGATTCCAACTAGACGGCGCCAGCGCAACTTGCTA